CCAGAGCACTGGAACAGGCTGCCCAGAGAGGCTGTGGAGTCTCCTTCTCTGGAGATCTTCAAAACCCGTTTGGATGCAGTCCTGTGCCACGTGCTCTAGGTGACCCTGCATGTGCAGGGGGGTTGGACTAGATCTCTAGAGGTCCCTTCCAACCTTAAGCATTCATTTTGTGATTCCATGATATGATTCTATGAAGGAAATAGTATTCAAACTTCTGAACTAATGTTTGTTGCATTTTCCTTCTAGCTAATATTCAGCAACGAATATACCCAAGCGGAGGGTCAAAACTGGCATCTGAAGCACTTCTGCTGTTTTGACTGCGATTGTGTTTTGGCTGGGGAAATCTATGTGATGGTGAATGACAAGCCTGTCTGCAAACCATGCTATGTGAAGAACCATGCTGCGGTAAGGTCCTTGCAGGCACATATTGGTGCTGTGAAAGAAAGGAGCCTATGTCTGGATCATGAAGCTTCCACTTCTTTCCAGTGTGAGAGTATCGGAGGAATATAAACTGAATGGAAATTTGGGTCAAAATCAGTCATTCCTCCTCTCCCTCCCCCTAAAAAACTTGTAAGCAGACAGGTTTTCTATTAGTTCATAAACTTGATTAAAAAAGAAAAGAAAAAAAAAAACTTTAGGAGTGTGTCACTTGGAGGGATTGTCCGAAAATAGATGTAATTTTTCTAGTGATAAGGATTGTCTTAACAGACTGAGTGAGATATAATGATGCAACTAAATGTCAATTATAGCTAATTGTGACCAGCAGGATTCAAACTTATGATCATTTGGTATTTTAAAAGCCAGCAGTGGGAGCCGCAGTCTGGACATTTCATTATTTTGTGCATTTCTAACCATGAGCTGTAACAAAACAGACTGATGATAAAACCGAAGTTTTGGAAGAGCATGAGATTAAGAGCATTTTTAATTCCTACTTATGCTGGGAACAGAAGGTCTGTTACTACCAGCTAAGCTGCTGCTTATTGTGAGTTCAGTCCGATGTGCATCTAGACTTATACAGTTAATGGAGAGAAACAGTTATCTCTGGCCAGCTAGAGACAGTTAATGCTATTTTCAGGTAGGTGTGAGAAGTTATCTTTGAAGACATTTCTTTTCATTAGCTGTTCTGAGATAGAGTTGATTTTTGGACAGCAAAAGCTGGATGAGATGAATTGCATTTGAAACTTTCTAGAAAAACCTTTAATTCCATGGCATGGCTTTACACCTGCCACTACCAAAAGGTATTTTTTAACTTGTGTTTCCGAATGTGTCTTTTATAAAAATCCATGCTTTTGTTTGACATGGCAAGCTCTTGCACAGTTTTGGACATGGGAAAGTCATCACACCATGATGGTCTTTACATCTAGTTCCAGCAACAACTGACTTTTGTGCATTGTGTTATTTTTGTCTCCTATCTTTCATTTTGCTTGAAAAGTTTACTTTAGAAAAGGAAAAAAAAATCAAAAGTCAGTTTTAGGTAAAAGATGGCTTCTAACACCTATTTCTTCTCCTGTTAATTTACAAGCAAAAATCCAAGCATTTGAGCTGTTCTTGTAAACTTATTTTTTCATTCTTTAAACTTATCAGATCTGCCAAGGCTGTCATAATGCTATAGATCCAGAGGTTCAACGTGTGAGCTACAACAACTTCAACTGGCACGCCACTCAGGAGTGCTTCCTGTGTTCCTGCTGCAGCAAGTGCCTCATTGGCCAGAAGTTCATGCCAATAGAAGGAATGGTCTTTTGTTCGGTGGAATGTAAGAAAAAGATGATGTCTTAAGATAAAGAAGACCTACACAAAACCAAGCATTGCCATGTTCCAAAGTCTTTTGCTTTTCTACTGTAAAGTATATAGTACTGGGGCATTTAAAGATATTGAAAGTATTAAACTGCATTTTTTTCCAAAGACTTTTTTTTTAATGAGTAGGAACCATGCTCTGTAATCTTCCTTAGCTATAATAATACTTTCTTCTTTGGGAGTTTGTTCCTGGGTCTTTATGTAAAATGTTTCCTATCATATTAATGTAGGAAAAAATGTTTTATGAACTATTTTCAGCTAAGAAGGCCTTCACCCTGAAATGTCTTTTTGCCATGTCTTCTTTAATGGAAGAAGAAAATGTGAAATATACTCCCTTTTTCCTATCTGTTAAATGAAGAATGTAGCTCTTACACTTTGACAGATTAACTTATCACTTTTAATAATCTCCCTGCTTTCATCTAGCACTTTAAACAAAATGATCAACTTTACTGCCATGTGACCACGTGCGTTTTTGTTCACTAGACCTCAAGTGGCAGGGAGAAGAAAACTGAAAGTTTAAAAAAAAAAAAAAAAAAAAAAAAAAAAAAGCAAGCCTGCTTTCTCTTGCTTATTGTTGACACACAGGCTGTGAGGGATAGTGAGTACTCTAACATCTAGCTTATGAAAAACAGTCTCAGCTCGTTGCTCTCTTGCTTGCAGCTTTCTATAGGAACTTCTTTCCTATGTTGTTTTCATTTTATAAAGATTAAAGCTGCTTTTTTTTTGTGGGGGTGGCAGGGGGGGAAGGAGGACTATTAGAGGAGGTCTTGCCCAAATTAAGAGGAAATATCGACTTGCCTCAGTGGGTTTCATTTTTCTTTCAGAATAGATTTTTGGTTTTTATGAATGTTCTTTTCATAAATTGTGCCTTCTATCAGAGGGATGTGGCACAGAATAGCATATGTGTTTCTGAGAATCATTTTGCAAGAAGTAACCAAAGCTAGAAAGTCTTTCCCATAAGACTTTCCATATTTGAGTGAAGAGGATTGATGGCTGTATATTAGCTTTCTAGCTTACTAAAGAAACCAAATGAACTGTTTCTTCTGGTTCCCTTTGTTAAGAATTACAGTTCTACAGTGAAACTTCAGAACAATCTCTGTGTGAAACAACAAATGGAGAGTCTTGAACCTCAGAAGGGACAGAAAAAAAGGAGGAAATAAACTATGCAAATTTTATGTTCAGCTCTCTTTAAGCTTATGATGCCTGTGTTGTAACACTTGAAAATAAAAATCAGCATTGCTCACCTGATGTCTGATCCTGTTCCTCGTGAATTCTCGTTATTGGCGGGGAAGCACAACATAGAGGGAACCGCCAGCACAAACACAACTTTGGAAATACTCAGATTCTTTCTTAGCACTTGCCTGTATTGTGTCATGTTATCTTTGTGCTTATGGGCATGAAATGATGGGTCTTGTTCAAGCCATGTATACAACTGATAAATTTAGTGCAAATTTATTCTTGACTCACATAAAATTCTATTTCATGACAGAAGATTGAAAGTTTTGAAATTACACAGGTGAAATAATATGCTAAGAAAATATTTAAGTGCTGCGTATCAGTATATATTGTATAAACAGCGATCTAAATTCAGGTCACTATTCTGGAAGCCTGTACAGCCTTTCTCTGCCCTCCTTTGGGTGTCTCAAAATGTACCTGTCAGTCTGTGTCCAGCTCATGCCAATGAGGCTGGACTCTTACCTTCTTGCATGGAGGTGTTTCCAATTTTTCCAGGGTGTTCCTTAGTCCATACTTGGATATGTAGTGAGATTGCTGTCTTCTGGGGGAAAGGGAGCAAGGCCCCTAATCATGTCTGAAGATGACTTTGCAGTGTTTGGCTTACTTGTCTTGAGTGGGTCTGTCCTTGCCCACTTGCTAAGCTGATTGCTGCAGCTTTTGGGGGAAAGCTGTTGTGCAATTTCCTCTCCCTGCCCTTCTCTCCATCTAACAAGCACCACTACTTAGATGTAATTCCTTGCACTCGTAGTAGCCCTGCATCTGCTTCTACTTCTGAAGCTTATTCAGTGCAAATTTGTTTAATAAAACTTTGTTTAATTAAGGTCACTTCCCTGTAACCTTCACTGAGGAGGAGGAGCAGTGCTGTGTTGCTGTCAGTCCTCTGGGAGTAGCAGTTTCCATGCCTCCTCCTACAACTTGTGAGCTTGCTGTCTTTAGCTGGTTCTGTTCCTGAGAAACCTAGTCCTTTCTGCATGCGCCTTGCCAGCTGTTTTCCCTGGAACCTTGTGCCTTTAGCTGTCGCTGAGCAGACAGTTTAATCTCTATCCCAGCAATACTAGGGCAACACTATGCCTTGAAGTGTAAGGTGCAGAGAATAGAGGGGAGACAAAGGTAATGCTATGTGACCACACAATAAATTAGAGAATAATTAGGAGACCTCAATTACTTCCTGTGCTCATTATAGGAACTATGTATGTTCTCATCAAGGTAATGCTTACAATGGTAGCTGAAGGAAACATCAACATCTTGGGGCTTCAAAACAAGTACTGAGGAGCTTTTCATTCTGTCACTTCCATGGTAAAAACAAAGTCATAACACTTTTTAAATCATAGAGAACGCTCTGCATCTATGCCTAAGATTGGAAGGGGTTCTTGCATGCTTCAATAATAGAAGTTCTCACTCTGCAGATGAAATTCTGAACCTCAGATATGCGAAAACTTTATAAGCACTTGGTTCTAACTGCTCTTAACATTCTTTAGAAAGTTAGTGGGCTGGAAGAGCCAACCTGAAGAGACACTAAACCAGCTCTGTTTATCTTGCCAGATAATCCAAACGTTTTGCAGTGGTTATAAACCAAAGATGGGTTTAGCTGTTGAGCATTGTAATCAATATGTGTGAGAAGGAAAGGCCCAAACTTGACATTCAGGATGTAACTTCTTGCTTGTCTTATTCTGTTATTTTATGTGAGCATTGAGACAAAGTAGGTTGCGAAGTCTCTTGAAGTTTCGTTTTTTAGAGTTGAAGTGCACTGCTGACCATTGCCTGTGGACAAGTAGGATGACACAGTGCAGCAGCAACCTAAAGTCAGGAATTAGGCAGAAGTGGGGTGAGGGGTAAGCATGCCAGAGCCGTCATTGAATCAGCAGTAAGGAAATTATTTAGCCAGCTCTCTTCCACTCTGAACATGCTTGTTTACCCTTTCTTACTTTTCACTACTTTGCAGTATATCTGACAATCTTACAGCATATATATGTATTTTTCCAAAGATTTTATTCTACCATATATGGCATGTCACCATCAGTTTTGGACAACAATTTGAAATTCCTCAAAATGATTATGAGCCGCCAGATGAAAAAGTCCTTCTCAAGTTGCTAACATGCCTTTTTTTTTTAAGCCTACCAGCTACCAAGGAAAATGGAAATGGAAATGCAGCATCATTGAGTGAGTTGAGCAGAGCTTAACTAACTAGTGCTCTTGAGGTTTAGGAAGCACAAGGGTATTTTTACATTTGTGAAGTCACAATGAACCAGACGATGCAAAAAGAGCTTTAAAGGAAAATGAAAAAAGTAATGATGTTGTACTGGAGATGCTAAAATAGAATTCATTCTACAGTAATCCTACACTAGGTGAGAGATTTAGCACTTTTTAGAATGGCATTTACATGCAGGATATTCCAATAAGTGTGTGTGTGTATGTATAAGCATTTAAAATTAATAGCTTTTATGTATCTGTGGATAGTTAAGTTCCTCTTGTGGACTAGACCAAATAGCCATACTGATCCATATGTGTATATTCTAGCACAGGCAATTTGCTTTGAGAATGACATACGTTGTGTATATTTTTCCAAATGGAAGAAAACAAAGGCTGAAGTTGCTTTGTGGCAGAGCAGCGTACACCCGTCTATGAAGGCATTCCTTGTCCTGAAGGAATGCCTTAGTATGAGGTTATCATGATTAATGATTAAAAGTTATATCAAAAGCTATAAAGGATTTCAAAAACAAATAGAACTCGAGGACATTGTCTGTACAAAATTTTTCATGTCCTGAGCCTGCTCTTCTGCCACAGCAGAGCCCTATACCTTGTGACCTTGCAGTGGAAAGCCCTCATAAAGATCACCTACACAACTGTGAAAGCGGTGTCAGAGAAGATGCCATTTTGACTTAAGTATTTGAAAGCTCTTGTACATGGAAAAGGATGCAATAGGTCAACACAAAATCTTCTGCTTGACCAGCACACTATTTCACACTTTGGGACTACAGAGGGGCACTATTTTATCCTGGTGCTGACAGGCGCACAGATTAGCTGCATGTGAGCCAGCCTCCTGCAAGCTCACCATACGCATGAGCGTTATTTCCTGTATAGTTTTCTCCATAAAACACAGGAAAGGATGTTCACATTCTATAGGGGTGCTGGATGTTAGCCCCCCAACTTTCTCAGACTCAGCATTTTATGTATTTTGGGACAATTCCCAAGCACCAAGCTGTGGAGATGTCCCAGTGCAGGCACTTGCTGCACCTGCTCCTGCAGGGGTGGAGGATGTATGTGTATCTGTATGCATTTGAATGCTAGCTTGAATTCTCTTATGCTCTTAAAATCACGTCACTCTGTCATTATCGGTTTTATCAGGTAATATGAAGACACAGAGCTAGGTTCAGTGGTATGATTTTGAACCATGTTATGATTAGTTGCTTACTAGCGATAGGAAAGCTGAGGGTTCTTTGTACACACAAAGGTCATAAATCCATCAACTGCTTTCATATATTGTATAAATTATATTAACACTTCAAAATGCAAAGGCCTTTTAGGGCTGTAGCACTGGGTCTGCAGTTTCTGTCTTTACTCACTCCATCAGTAGATAAGTAAATTAAGTTTAGCAGTTAAGTCTCAGGAATGATACTGAGTAAAATTAAGCATGCTGCCAAAGAGGTCCTATAAGTAGATGGTAGACAGAAACCAAATCGTCTAAAGATCATCAACAATCCAGGAGAAGAGGGTGGAGGGGGGCATTAGTTAAAGTACAGAAAATAACATATCCATTTTTTTCAATGTCTTCTGTTAGATTTATTAGATGGATAAAACAGCATTTAGGGACTAGAAGTCCAAAACCTTCTGAACCAAGACTGCGCTCAGATTGTAGATGGCTCCCTCCATGTTCACTGTTTAAATCACTAAAAATAAAAAGTCCAGATGTTTTTTACTTTACACTCTGCAGAGCACCTCAGCGGTACCTGCCTCAGCACACCACTGTCCCAGCGGCAACACTGGCTTCTCTGAGCAATCACAAAAAAAT